TTCATGCATGATTTCTTAAATGATTGTGGAATATCTACTAAGTAAAAAGAGTTAATTATTGTGAGTGATTGATAAATGCCTTCAAAGTTCTAATAAGCACATAAGTAAAAATATTAAATCATTAGCCCTCAAATAATAAGAGGTTAAATTTACACCATTGTGACTTTCATAATGATTTGTTTTGTGTATGTTTCTATGTCCAAAGGATATGGATATAAGTGTCAATGCATGTCAGAAATGGCAACTTTAAAGTTGATTTTCAGATAGAACACGTCTGTACATCATTTAACAGCAGTAGGAGGTAGAATTCTAAGATACATTAAAGGCTTGCACCATAAAATTTAAATAAATATTTTAATATAAATTTTCTATGTTTATTAAGGTGTCAAATATGAGTTTTGTCATTCATGACATATCGGCACAAGCTCAAAACATTAGATATATGTGTTCCAGTTGTATAGCTTCATTCATATTAACAAGTAGGCCATGAGCACTGCCGTTTTAAAATGCAAAAGGTATAGATTTATCTTTAGTACAAGGTGATCACAATTAATCTTGACCAGTAAAATGTGAAATTGGGTGGCTATATGTGTTGCATTGACTAAGCTTAAAATTCAAAATTCAAAATAACTTTCTTCAAACTTTATGACATGCCTAGGCTATCAGATTTCACAACGGATGGTTATAAGTAATTGTGTCCTCTTTGTACCAAAGATAAATAGTCTCATTATATACATCCCTTTAAAAAATATATTATTATTATATCTTGTGTGTTTATAGGGATGGATTATCCAAACAACTCCCTAATTCCCATCAAGGACGTGTTGAAGGATGAGAAGAGGATCAAATACCATAATGACTACCTCACAAATTTGTTGGCTTCCATAAGGTAGGTTGCTTTATTGACTCGTGAAATTACATTATTTCTCAATTTGAATAGCAAAATTTTATGCTTTTCCCCTCCTAGTTTTGGGAGAACGAGGGCTAAATAAGGGTCGCAATGGACCGGACCGGACTCGGGACCCGATGGATAGACCAAACCTCAAGTCTGGGTATAGGTCTAAATTTTGGACCTGAAAGGTCAGGTTCGGGTCCAAAACTTAAACCCAAATACTATTCCGGTTCGGGTCTAGCCGACCCAAACCCGACCCATTACCACCCATAGGACTAAGATTTTGGCCTATATAAATTTCAAAAATACCCTCGACACGAGTAACCAATGTGTACTTTGTCCAATTTTCTATTCGTACAACCCATGAAAGTCATTGTGTTACATGAGTTGCATGATGCTAGGAATCTATGGCAATCATTTTAAATTTTAAATTGTATTTTATAATGTTAGACCATCTACAAGGCTACAAAGTCCACCCACTACTTTTTGTAGTCTCAAACTTTTAAATTGTTATCATTTAAATCTAATACTTTTTCAACCTCAAATTTAAATCTCATAATCCATGGCTTTTGTTGCCCCACTTCCTAATTTAAGTTACTACTTATCATTGTTGAAATTATATATTCCTCAAAATTTTGAATCTAAAATCTATTTCTAGAATGGATTTTAGAAGGATGACTTATTTAAAAATTTTGAAACTACAATCTATTTCTAAAATAGATTTTAGAGGGATGACTCATTTGAATAGGTGACTCTGTTAACTCATAGAAATATTGTCTTTCTAATTTTGGAAAACGTTTATATAAGTGTGATGCTCTACACAATCAAATTAGGGCGTACCTCAAAAATATCACTAGAAGAGTTTGTTTTGATGCTCAAATATTCTCAAATTGATCATCTCGACCTCAAGATGTATGCACATGAGAAAAAAAAATAGATTTCAAGTTTTGGAAATAGTGCATCTTGTAATGCATTTTTTGATCATCGATTTTCAAGATTTTCAAGCTTTCATAGATATGCTCGATCTACATTATTTTTGAAGCTTTAAATTTTATAATTAGAGATGAAAATATGCTTTAAAACTATCGCAAAGATTTCCAGTTTTGAAAACACATTTGCGACACTATTTAAAGGTGCACTTTACTTTGATTGTTTAGAGCCTCGGCTCTATACAATCCACACCCTTTAACTTTTGTGTAGAACATGAAAAATTGTTTTCCAAAATTTGGTATAAAATACCTCGAAATTCCATAAGCTTCCACAATTTGGCAATTCCAAATTTGTAGGGAGGATGGACGCAATGTGAAGGGATATTTTGTGTGGTCTCTCTTGGACAATTGGGAATGGGCGACTGGATTTACTTTGAGATTCGGCCTCTACTTCATAGATTATAATGACGAGATATCCAAAGGACTCTATTCAATGGTTCAAAAACCTTTTAAACTGATAATGCAATTATGTTTGTCTCGAAAAAGTATATAATAAGATTGCTAAAATGATAATGCATTTATGTTTGTCTCGAAAGTATATAATAGCATTGCTTACTTTTTGGCACAAAACGGTATAATCGCCTCTAACACTCATATGCGAAATAATACAAATAATACAACTGAGGGTGTACTATTGACTTATGCACAAAATCTGAAAAACTATTCCTTAAATTTTCTGTCCACAAATAACACTTTCTAACGATTCAAATTCAAAGATGATGGCTAGAGCTAATTGTGACTTCTGCGATACTAAAGTATCAATCACATCGTATACAATCTCTTTTTTTATATTATTATTTCGATGTATCCCATCATTATTTGTGCCTCCTTATTTCAATGTTTTTGAAGATCCATGGTTTAATGACCAATCCAAGTTTCTATATATTTAATTTTATCCAAAAGATTAATGGTTAATAAGAATAAGGAAAATTGCATATACCCCCAACTTAGACTTTTTAGACAACTTCTTTGCAACCAACTTTTTTATCGAAACTTTTATCCCCAAACATACTTTTTGGCAAATACCCCCGAGTCAAAAATTCACATATTTATTTGGATCAAAATACCCTTATTCGTACAAGCTTGGATCACATCCCTGCAGGATGCGTAATAAGCACATGTTAACTGACGAACCGCGGTCGGACCGTTACAATAAAACCACTGCCTGACCCCAATGCGCAGCTATCGGACCGCATAAAAAATATGTTGGACGGATGTAAAAGAGTGTTGGACAGATGTCACCTTGTACTTGACCGAGCCAAAATCGCAGTCGGACCCCATTGAATATTTCTCGAATCGAGGGCACCTTGTGCCTAACCCGTATGCACACTATGCCGATAGAGAGTACAATGCCGGACCGACAATTGGAAGTGCTAGACTGACAGTTAGAAGTGCCAAACCGAGTGCACCTCATGCTAGGGATGTGATGCGAGCTTTGTACGGATAAGGGTATTTTGGTCTAAATAAATATGACTTTTTGACTGGGGTAGTCTTCATAAAAAAAAATGTTTTGGGGTAAAAGTTGAGAAAAAAAATAGTTGGGGGGAAACTGTCTAGAAAGTCCATGTTAGGGGGTATCTGCAATTTTCCCATAAGAATATCCATATCCTGAACATTTGTGAAACCCCTTAGAAGTTGCCAATGTTTTAAAATCCAGAACAGTTAGGTGAGTTGTCGGGTTCAATAAAATGTTTTTTCTTTTTAAGATACTAGAACTATTGTATGCACTGCACCGCATCCTCCAACTAGGCCACTCGGCCCTCTAGGTTCTCCACGGTAAAAAAGAACTCCATACTTGAGTAGTCTTGAAATATCTGAGATGCCTTTATGAATACATCGACACCTATTTCTCCGCCCTTCTATAAGGCTTCAACAATCCGTGTGCATCTCTCCCTGTCCTTCGTTGCCTGAGCAGTAGAATCAGCTGCAGGATCATGGTTCCGCCTGCTAGTGGTAGCAGCTGCCCAGTATTTCAAGGTATAAGCCATCATGGACATTATGTTGGCCATGCTATCCGTTGCTGTTGGTTGCCTTTTCCTTTGTTGAGCTCTTGTTGGATACTGAGAGCTCTGCCTCTTTGCCCTAGAGAATAATGCAATGCTTTTTCAGATGAGGAAGAGCTGAATTCCTCGTCACACCCCAAGTCCACCACTAGCACAGATGTGCTAGGGGTATGAACTGCTGCTGTGTCGGCACCTTCTTCATTAGTATCATGGGAAGGGCCTTGAGTGACTTGGTGGTCATGCCTATTCATACCACTACCTGACCCCAATACGTAGCTGCCGAACCGCATGAAAAATATGCTGGACCAATGTACAAGAGTGTTGGATATATGTCACCTTGTACCGGACCGAGCTAAATTAACAGTCCGACCCCATTGAATATTTCTCGAATCGAGGGCACCTTGTGCTTAACCGCATGCACACTATGCCAGCAGAGAGTGCAATGCCGAACCGACAGTTAGAAGTGCTAGACCGACAATTGGAAGTGCCAAACTGAGTGCACCTCATGCTAGGGATGGGAAGCGAACTTTGTATCAGTACGGGCATTTTGGTCTAAATAAATGACTTTTTGACTGGGGGATATACGTAAAAAAAAATGTTTTGGGGTAAATGTTGAGAAAAAAATTGGTTGGATGGAAGTTGTTTAGAAAATCCAAGTTAAGGGGTAGCAATTCTCCCATAAGAATATCCATATCCTGAACATTTGTGAAACCCCTTAGAAGTCGTCAATGTCTTAACATTTGGAACAGTCAGTTGAGTTGTCGGGTTCAATAAAATGTTTTTTTTTTTTTTTGAGGAAACTAGAACTATTGTATGCACTGCACCACATCCTTAAACTAGGCCACTCGACCCTCTAGGTTCTCCACGGTAAAAAAGAACTCCATACTTGAAATATTTGAGATGTCTTGAAATATCCGAGATGCCTTTATGAATACACTGTCACGACCCCACCGCCTGACCCCTGCTGTCTCAAATCGGAGAGCGAAAGAGTACGGGATTGCGACCGGAGGTCGCGTATGTCACTCAGGTGGGAGTAGCATCAGACGTGTAAATTTCGAGATCAAAGAAAACTACGAAACTAAATAAACTCATAAAACAAAAGGCTACAAACTGAGCAAAATAAAACCATTTATATAGATTCAGACTCCAAAAATTCTTTCACAAAGGTTCAAGGTGCTACTGGCCCAACAACAAAATTACAATATTCATCAAAAGACATTGTGGCACAGCCACCAGACACCCATACGCAAAAGATCCCAAGACAGAACTCACGCTTCAAAGTTTGCTACCATCGTCCAGCTGTCCACACACGAGCTATCAACGCTCACTCTACAAAGAAGGGAAAAAGAGAGGCATGAGCTAAAGCCCAGTAAGTAGGCAGGTCACTACCCTTGTATTCCTGACTAATAGCATATAAATCATAACATGGCCGATAGATCTTCAAAGATTGTACTGGCATCAGAAAGTAGAGTCATGCATCAAAATATGCATACTAATAGTGTAAAATGAGTATTGTTCAGATGCCAGAGTATTTAATATTTCCTGAAATGGCAGATGCATTGATGCTTATCTCAGTCACAGTCAGGCAGTCGTATAGAGGACTTAATTCAGATAGGCATAAACAGAAATATAATTACTCTCGAAGTAGAAATCACATTGTTCAGACGGATCTTGCTGATATTTCCTCAACAATGAGACATGAAACACATCATGAATATTTGCCAACTCAAGCAGTAGAGCGAGCCGATAAGCCATACTTCATACTCTTTCCAGAATCTCAAAGGGCCCAATAAAATGTGGGCTCAACTTTCTTTCCTTGTTGAACGTCATAATACCCTTGGTCGGTAATACTTTCAGGAAAACCCGATCACCTACCTCAAATTCAAGGTTCTTCTTCGATTGTCGGCGTAACTCTTTTGTCGACTCTGAACAATTTTGAGCCTCTCCCGAATCAAAGCAATCTTTACTAAGGTCACTTGAAGAATTTCGAGCCCTAACATCCTTCTTTCACCGACCTCATCCCAACAGATAGGTGACCTGCACTTCTTTCTAAACAGGGCTTCAAAAGGTGTCATCTGGATACTAACCTGGAAACTATTGTTCTAAGCAAATTCTATTAAAGGCAGATGATCCTCCCAGCTTCTTTTAAAATCAGTAACACAAGCTCTTAACATGTCTTCCAAAGTCTGAATAGTTATTTCTGATTGCCCATCTGTCTGGGGATGAAAAGCAATACTAAAAGTGAGTCTTGTCCCCAAAGCTGATTGCAAACTGTCCCAAAATTTTGACGTAAATCTAGTGTCCCTGTCGGACACGATACTGACAGGCATTCCATTTAATCGTACAATTTTTTTAATATATAGTTGGACCAATTTGTTCAAAGTATAAGTTGTATATATCGGTAAGAAATGAGCTGCTTTCGTCAATCGGTCCACAATGACCCAAGTATTATCATGTTCAACACCTATATTGGATAAGCCAGAGACAAAATCCATGGTAATGTGCTCCCACTTCCACTCTTGCACAGGTGAGGGTGGCAATAGTCCAACGGGTTTTTTATGTTCAACTTTCACTTGCTTACATGTTAAGCACCTGGAAACAAACTACGCTACTTCCTTTTTCATATCATTCCACCAGAAATTTTTCTTGAAGTCCTGATACATCTTAGTACTCCCCGGGTGCACAGTATAACAAGAGTGGTGTGCTTCTTCTAAAATAACCCGCTTCACGCCCTCAAAACTCAGGACACAAACCCGAACTTTAAATCTTAACAGACCGTCCCCACTAACGGAAAAATCTTCCTGTCTTCCCAGCTTTATTTCTTCAAGAATCTGCATAAGTTGGGGATTCTATTTCTGCGCTTTACGAATTTGTCGAAAGAGCAAGGCCTCCGCCCTCATACCAGCAGTCATTCCTTCCCCAACACTAAGGGAAAGAATTGGGTGCCACTCCACTACATCTTCTATCAGTTTTATCTCTTGAGTCATCAAGGGTGCCACCAACACTAAGGGCTTTCGACTCAAAGTGTCGGCCACCACATTAGTCTTGCTTGGTTGGTAATTGATAGTACAATCATAGTCATTCAGTAGATCCATCTATCTTCTTTGTTTCATATTTAACTATTTCTGAGAGAACAGATACTTGAGGCTTTTATGATCTGTAAATATTTTAAATTAAGCCCCATATAGGTAATGTCTCCAGATCTTTAAGGCAAACACTACAGCCACAGGTTCCAAGTCATGGGTTGTGTAATTTTGCTCGTACGGCTTCAGCTGTCTGGAGGCGTAGGCTATAACCTTCCCTCGCTGCATCAATACACATCCAAGTCCTTTATGAGAAGCGTCAGTATAGACCACAAAGTCTTCATTCCCTTCGGGTAAGGTTAGTATTGGGGTCGTGGTCAAATCTTCTTTAGCTCTTGAAAGCTTGTTTCACAATCATCTTACCATACAAACTTTACCTCTTTCTAAGTTAGGCGAGTTAGGGGGAGCACTATATTTGAAAACCCCTCTACAAAGCGTCTGTAATAACCTGCCAGTCCAAGACAACTACGGACCTCGGACACATTTGTCGACCTTCCCCACTTCAAAACAGCTTCAATTTTACAAGGGTCAACTGCAACCCCGTCCTTAGAAATAACATGCCTAAGGACGGCCACACTTGAAAGCCAAAACTCGCTTTTCCGCAGCTTAGCATATAACTTCTCCGTCTTTAGGGTCTGTAGGGCCATCCTCAAGTGTTGTTCATACTCTTCCAGATTCATTGAATATACCAGAATGTCATCTATAAAAACCACCACAAAATCATCCAAAAAGGACCTAAGCACCCTGTTCATCAAATCCATAAAGGCGGCCAGGGAATTAGTTAACCCGAACGACATTACCAAGAACTCATAATGTTCATATCGGGTGCTGAATGCGGTCTTAAGAACATCCTCTTCTTTGACTCGCAGTTGATAATACCCCGACCGAAGGTCAATTTTAGAAAACACTTGATCCCCTTGAAGCTGATCAAAGAGGTCATCAATTCTAGGCAAAGGGTACTTATTCTTCACCGTGACCTGGTTCACCTGTCTATAATTTATACAAAGTTTCAAGGACTCATCTTTCTTTTGTAAGAATAAAACCAGTGCACCCCGTGGTGCAACACTGGGTCAGACGAATCCCCTCTCCAATAACTCTTAGAATTGCTCTTTTAGTTCTTTCAATTCGGCTGGGGTCATTCTATAAGGGGCTTTAGAAATGGGTGCGGGTGCAGAGTCAAGAACCACTTCTATTTCAAATTCTATCTCCCTAACTGGAGGCAAAGTGGTTAATTCTTCAGGAAAAACTTCTGGATACTCCCTTACTACTAGTATCTCATCGAACTTTGATTGGGCATCCCGATTCTGCACTACGTAAGACAAATACCCAACACATTCTTTAGCCAACAAACGGGAAGCCCGAAGGGCTGAGATAAAGTGTATAGGGGAAACATCCTTAATGCCAACAAAATTCAATTCAAGCTGATTAGGGCGTCTAAAAGTTACAGTTTTGTCATAACAATGTATTGTCACATAGTGTGCAAACAACCAGTCCATGCCCAAAATCACTTCAAAGTCTCGGATGTCTAACAGTAGTAAATCTATAGGTAGAACACACCCTTCAAGCAAAACCCCACAGTGCTTATAAATAATATCAGTTTCTATGGATTCCCCCATAGGTGTGCCTACAACCAATTTCTAATCAAGAAGTGCAGGTCTAACACTTAAGTGGCATGCAAAGTGAGGTGCAATCAAAAGAGTGTGTGGATCCAAGGTCAATTAGAACTTTAGCTTCCATGTTGCAAACAGAAAGCGTACCTCAAATCACAGAGGTGGAAGCCTTGGCTTCTCGTTCCGTAAGGGAAAATACCCGACCTTGAGTCTTTGGTTGGTCTTCTGGTCCCTTCACCGGAAGTCCTTGATCATGTGGCCAAGTTTGCCACATCTGAAGCATGTTTTTATCCTCCTTCGGCACTCGACCGCCAAGTGGTTATCCTTTCCGCAATGTGGATATATCGGGTGCTGGTTCTCTCTTATGTCACTCGAGAAGTTTTTCTGGATCTTGCTCCCTCGATTATTATTTCCCCTGAAGCTTCTCTTTGGAGGTGGTCGAGTCCTTCCTCCAAAATTTTTAAATTGACCTGGTCTCATCTTTCCCTCTTTCTTGAACCGGGACTCTTTGTCCTCCCTTTTTATTCTCATGGCCAGATCCACTAAATGGGAGAAGGTCTTTAAATTGGCTGATATTACCCCCCTCCTTATTTCTGGCCTGAGGCCTCTTTCGAACTTACTAACCTTCTATGCCTCAGTGTTAATGATGTGCGGCGCATATCTTGACAATTCAGCGAACTTGGCTGCATATTGTTCGACAGAAAGTCCCCCTCGTCGTAGCTCAATAAACTCCACTTCCTTTCTTTCCCATACTGAATCAAGGAAATATTTCTCATTGAAGGCTTCCAAGAAATTCTCCTAGGTCACTTCTGTCCCTGATCTTTCTCAAGATTGTTTTACTGAGCCCCATCAGTGCTCAGCATCTCACTCTAACATGAAATCTTCTGCTCATCATTGCAATGCAATACTTCAAATATCTTCTCTACTTGCCTTATCCATCGTTCTGCTTTTTCTACTCTCCCATGCCCTAGGAACGTCGGAGGCGCTAGCCTCCTGAACCTTCTATTAGTCCACTATCAGTAAGCTCCAGGGCAGGGGTAACCAGGGCTAGCATATTATCTTTTATCATTTGAGTCATGGCCTCCAAGGTCCATAAGATTTCTCCAAGGGCTTTTGCATTATCGTTACATTATCGTTACTGAAGCTCGCATTATTAACACGAGTCCTTGGCATCTTTGTCCTACAACAGGGACACCCCAGTCACTAGTCTACTCAAAACTACTTTAGAGACACTTTTACAATATTTTAGGCCAAAAATCCAAACCTGACTGCGCTGATACCATAACTGTCACGACCCCACCCCCTAACCCCTGCCGTCCCAAACTGGAGAGCGACAGACTGCACGAACGCGACCGGAGGTCCCGTACGTCACTCAAGTGGGAGTGGCATCACAGATAAAATTTCGAGATCAAAGCAAACTATGAAACTAAATAAACTCATAAAATAAAAGGCCACAAATTGAGAAAAATAAAACCATTTATACAAATTCAAGCTCCAAAAAATCTTTCACAAAAGGTTCAAGGCTCTATTGGCCCAACAACAAAATTATAATATTCATCAAAAGACATTGTGGCACAGCCACCAGACACCCATACTCAAAGATCCCAACACAGAACTTACGCTTCAAAGTCTGCTACCACCATCCATCTGTCCACACACGAGCTATCGGCTCTCACTCTACAAAGAAGAGAAAAAGAGAGGCATGAGCTAAAGCCCAATAAGTAGGTCACTACCCTTGCATTCCTGATTATTAGCATATAAATCATAACACGGCCGATGGATCATCAAAGATTGTACTGGCATTAGAAAGTAGAGTCATGCATCAGAATATGCACACTAGCAGTATAAAATGAGCATTGTCCAGATGCCGAAGTATTTAATATTTCCTGAAATGGCAGATGCATTGATGCTTATCTTAGTCACATTCAAACAATCATACAAAGTACTTAATTCAGACTGGAAGAAACATAAATATAATTACTCCCAAAGTAGAAGTCACATCGATCAGGCTAAGCCAATCTTGTAACTTGAAACTTCTACCCTTAATCGGGAGGGAAGACAATGACAAATGAAAACTCCATTTTGTAATGTCATCACTCACGCACACGATCTCCAGTACACTTTGGGGGTTTTCGATAGGTTGTGGCCTTGCAAGACACGACCCTCTCCTTACGTAGCGGTCACAGAATCAAAATATTCACCACCAATGGAGGGCCCATTGTGTAGTGGCCAGAAATTACATACAACAAAATTCGTATAACAGAATCAGAATATCCACTACCAATGGAGGACCCATTGCGTAGTGGTGAAAAATCACATATAACAAAATTCATATAACATAATCAGAATATCCATTACCAATGGAGGACCCATTGCGTAGTGGTCAGAAATCACATATAAGATAATTCATATAGCATAATCAAAATATCCACTACCAATGGAGGACCCATTGCGTAGTGGCCAGAAATCACATATAATAGAATTCATATAACAGAATAAGAATATCCACTACCAATGGAGGACCCATTACGTAGTTGCCAAAAATTATATATAATAAAATTCATATAACAGAATCAGAATATCCACTACCAATGGAGGACACATTGCGTAGCGGCCAGAAATCACATATAATAGAATTCATTTAACAGAATCAGAATATTAACTACCAATGGAAGACCCATTGCATAGTGGCCAAAAATCACATATAATAGAATTCACCGTGTGTAAGCATGCATAACCCTCATTCATTTATACCTTACTCTTTCAAGAGGTCAGAAACATTGAACATTTGTAAGATTACAATCATGCCATTTCGGTGTCTTATACATAAAATTCAATCACCTTGCAAAAAGGCTTAAGGTGTGCATAATTCATATACAACTTAAAATTCATTGGTGCTCTTATCAATCATGGTCATACACATAATGAGGCATAGCACCCAAATTTACAACAGGAACTTAACTAAATTCCGATTCCAATTCACTAATTGAACATTACTTAGTCAATTAGTTTAGCATATCGTTCTAAATCTTGCTGAATTTTGCCAATAGTGACTTATGTTCATAATTTAAATCATAGATTGCAACCTAGCAGGAATTTCAAAACGCTTTCAGCAGCATATGACCAATTATCACACACATTTAGCACCAAGATTTGACTTAAAATGAGATCAAATGATGCTTTTGATCTACTTCTGCAGACCAATGAAATTTTAAGCAAGCCAATGACATCATCATGATATCAAAATCAGATAAAAAACAGTGTGTTAAACACTGCTGCATATTCAGTAGCATATGACCAATTATCACACGCATTTAGCACCAAGATTTGACTCAAAAAATGAGATCAAATGATGCTTGATCTACTTATGCAAACCAATTATATTCTAAGCAAGCCAATGACATCAAAATCTGATAAAAACAGTGTGTTAAACATTGCTGCATATTCCGCAGAATATGACCAATTATCATATGCATTTCACACCAAAATTAGTTGCATATGACCAATTATCACATACATTTAGCACCAAGATTTGACTCAAAATGAGAACAAATTATGCTCGATCTACTTCTGAAACCAGTGACATTCTAAGCAAGCCAATGACATCATAATGTTATCAAAATCAGATAAAAAATAGTGTGTTAAACATTGCTAAACATTGCTACATATTCGACAGCATATGACTAATTATCACATGCATTTAGCACCAAAATTTGACTCAAAATGATATCAAATGATGCTTGATCTACTTCCGCAAGCCAATGACATTTTAAGCAAGCCAATAAATCATAATGACATCAAAATCAGATAAAAAATAATGTGTTAAACACTGCTGCATATTCAACAGCATATGGTCAATTATCATACACATTCAGCACCAAGATTTGATGGTGGTTGAACACTGCTGCATAGTCAGCAGCATATGTTAAACACTGCTGCACATGTTAAACACTGCTGCATAGTCAGCAGCATATGGCCAATTATCACACACATTGAGCACCAAGATTTGACTCAAAAAATGAATGCAAAGAGAGAGTCAGATGCAGAGTTCAGAATAAAGGTACAAACCAAAATCAATAAATTGAGTTGTCAGTTTGCTTAAGCCCTAAAAAACCCCAAAATCAATAAAACTAAAATGTCAGTTTGATTAAGCCCCGTAAACCACAAACCAAAATCATTTTAAATGAGTAATCATGCAAACCGATAGAGTTCAGAATAGATAGAAATTTAACTAACAGAAATAAGAGGAGATCAAAACCAATATGCACATGTACAAAAATGAATTGAAACAATTCAGAACAAATTATAGGAAACCAAAAAACTTAAATAGTCACAAAGCAAATAATCACAGGAAAATAAATGATTCAATGAAAAAAATAACACTAAAAAAAATAAATTGAATCACCATAATTAATTGAATGTATATCTTGTATAGAACTGAATCACACTGAGTCATTTTCTCACTCCATAAAATGTATCAAGTTGTCTCTTGTAGGTCAGGAAGTATAGAATATTAAAATCATGAGCCTTTCAGGCCCAAAAAAAAAAAACATGGGGATAATCCTGCAGGTGAACACTAGTTCTTGGATGATCAATGAAACGAAAAAAAATATGGATGACTGCAATAGTAAAAAGGAAGAAAACAACGTACCCTTATTATTTTATTTTATTTTGTCAATATCTTTTACCCTTTTATTGTGAAACCCTAAAAAGAATCTGACAGAGTTCAAAAAAGAAACAATATTTTCGAAAAATCACTCAAAATAGTCTGATCCAAAAACTGCCTCCTTAAAAATGGCTGATTTCTTAATAAATATAAAGAAACTAGAATTTTCAGCATTTGTAGGAAGGGAATAGATCACAGAGAGAGGGATAGAGAGAGACGGGGAGGAAGGGATAGAATAGATCAGAGAGAGAAATCAGGAGCAGAGGGGATGAGAGAGCACAAGTGAAAGAGGAGAGAGAGATTGTAGATATAGCAGAGGGAGAGAGGATCAGAGAGAAGATGAAGGATAAGACAGGAAGGAGAAAATGGGAGAAGAAGGAGAAGAGCATTTACCTTATTGCATGCAGGCGTGAGAGAGACGACTGAGCTTGGAGGCAGGTGATGGGCTTCTGAGCTTGGAGGCTGCGATGCTAGGGTTGAGAAGAAGCGATAAAGAAATAGGGTTGAGATAGGAAACAACGGGGAAGAAAGTTCCCACTCTCCTTAAAACAAAGTTCCTGCCTTGGGGGTGGAACTTTTTTCTCCCTTTTTTTATAACTAAAAATGGAAGAAACATGGGAAAAAAGTATCTCACAACTTCTAAACACCGCAGAAGTTCCCGTGCATCAAACACAGGATTTCTACAGTGATAAGAAGAAGTTTGTTATGGAGAAATTTCTTCCTCCAAACAAACGCGTCGTCTTGGACAATTGGGAATGGGCGGCTGGATTGAATTCGAGATTTGGCCTCTACTTCATAGATTGTAATGACAAGCTCAAGCGATATCCAAAGGACTCTGTTCAATGATTCAATTTTTCTTTAAAATTATAATGCAATTATGTTTATCTCAAAAAAGTATATAATAAAACTGTTTACTTTTTGGCACAAAAGGCTATAATGGCCTCTAACACTCGTATACAAATTCATGCAACTGAGGGTGTCCTATTGACTCGTGCTCAAAATCAAAGGAAATATTTCTTAAATTTTCTGTCGACAAATAACACAATTTAGCGATTCAAATTCACAGATGATGGCTATAGGTACTTGTGACTTCTGCGATACAAAAAGTATCAGTCACATTCTATACAATCTCTTTTTCTATATTATTATTTCGATGTATCCCATCATTATTTGTGCATTCATATTTCAACGTTTTTGAAGTTCCATTGTCTTATGACCAATTTGAGTTGCAATATATTGAATTTTATCCAAAAGATTATTGGTTAATAAGAATAAGGAAAATTGAAGATACCTCCAACTTAGCCTTTCTAGACAACCTTTCCCCAACCAACTTTTTTATCGCAACTTTTACCGCAAAACATACTTTTCTTGCAAATACCCTCTTGTCAAAAAGTCATATTTATTGGATCAAAATATCCTTATCCATGCAAGCTCGCGTCACATCCCTGTAAGATGCGTAATGACCAAAGGTTAATTGTCGGACCGAGGTAAAAAACTATCGGACCGGTACAATAAAACCACTGCTGGACCCCAAGGCGTAGCTGCCGGACCACATGAAAACTATGTTGGTCCGATGTAAAAGAGTGTTGGATAGATGTCACCTTGTGTCGGACCGAACTAAAATCACGGCAGCCACAGTATTTTCCCCATCCACCCAATGACATCAGCCACTGTGGGACACACCAACCCACGAGCTTATAAGTCGCGCTCCTCTCCACCCTCAGCGCCGTTTACCCATTTCTCCTTTTTTCTCTCCCAAATTTCTCTCTCTAGTGCTCAAGGGAGAAACCCTCTTCACTGCCACCACCGCCACTACTGCTGCTGCTGTTGGCTACCACGAGGAGCCAAAAGGTGACCTGTGTCTGGAGTTTGGAGCGTCGTGATCTTCAAGTAAGTGGGTCTAGCTTTTTTGCATCAACAATAGTAGGAAATGGGTTTTGAATATTGTTAGTGGGTTAATGATGGAGTGAAAATTGTGAGTATGAATGAGTTTAGTGGGGTTGAGAATGATAGCCGCGTTGCCATGATTGTTTGAGCCATGGAAATGAACTTGTTAGTGGTAAAACGTTGTAGGATAGCTCTCTTGTAAGGCTAGTTTTATATGAATGAGATTTTGCATGAAGTTTTATCTTAGTTAATGAAGTATTGAATGATGTTGAATGTGTAATAAGCTTGGTATTGAGATTTTCCAAAACTGTGACTGTTCTTGCGACACACTTTTCAATGGTCGAACGATGTCCAAAAGAGCCCAAATCGGTCTTGAATGAGAGATGTGGTTGTCTATTTTATTGTGATTTTTACACCATCTGGAAATTGTGCACGGTTTAAGAAATACGCCCCTAGATATGAGCATGTGTCACTATCACTATGGCTGGAATTTTTCCAGCAACTATTGCCTGTTTTGCGTCGAGCTTTTGACCCACCTAACGATGCCCAAATGTTTTCAAACCTCCAGTGTTTGAAATATCTCTGAGTAAACTTAAAGTCTCATGTTTTGAGAATTTCAAAAATCTCGAGGTTTGTGAGGTACGCCCCGAAATGTGGGGGTATGTTGCTGTTGAGGGAAATTTCCAACAACTGGCATGTGAATCGTGTCAAGCTTTTGATCAATCAAACTATTTTCGAAAGCCTTTAAACTACTGTCATTTCGAAGATTACTGCATGGGCTTGAAATTCCATGTTTTAATTATTTTATGATTCTCCCTAGATTGGGAGTAACGCCCCGAGAGGAGGGGTATGTCAATGCCACACAACACAGAGGCTTTCAAAATTGTGCCGGTTGCATGGTTTTGCACTCAACTCTGACCAAATGTATTCAAATCACCTTCATGTGAGTTTTGAATAAATCTATTTTAAAATCGACTGCAAATAACACTAAAACCCGCCACTGCTCGACAATTGTACTCCTTTTCCTATAAGAAGGTCACAATTATGGAGTTGATAAATATGCTCTTTTTGCTTGAATCTTTCTCTGATCAATTAAGTGACATGGTGTTATGTGTACGAATTCATATACATCTATGCCATAGAATAGTCTTCATGTAATGATTGTCATATGGTAACTGCCATGGCGTTATGAGCATGATGTTATGCAACCATACAATGTGTGACGGTCTCATAACTGCTAATACCCTGTGATCGCTATGTGATGCATGTAATTGAATGAAACCATGGAATATGAATGCTAATTTTCAAAGTATAAGTGCCTTGAGATAACCCTTGTGATGAATGCCTTATGCGAGGAAGTATAGTGTATATGCCAGTTATATAGTTATACTGACCGCTACGCAATGGGCTACCCACTGACATGCTTTGTGCGTATTGCATGGCTAGGAGTGAGGTTGAGGGGGTGCCTATTTTGAGAGTATTATAGGGCCTACTTATGTGATTGTGATTGATATTGGTTAGGTGCGTGCTTTGAGTGTATTGCATGACCTGACTCAGTGATTGTTGCAGACTGCTTATGTGGTTGATATCGGTTAGGTGCGCTCTTTGAGCGTTTTGCATGACCCCCAATGATTGTTACAGAGTGCTTATGTGATTGATACTGGTTAGGCGCGTGCTTTGAGCATATTGCATGACATGATCCAGTGATTGTTACATACTGTTTATGTGATTGATACTAGTTAGGAGCATGCTTTGAGCGTATTGAATGACCTGACCAAGTGCTTACTATGGACTGAAATATGCTCAGTGATAAAGTAAGAATGAGTTCTATTATGATAAGAATGTACATCGTGAAATGTGTCCGATTATGGATAAAAGAATGATATCGTAATGTACATGACTGTATGTTTTATGATAGTGTTCGTTAACGGAAGGCATTATGGATTATTACTACTTATGATACTTATTATCTGCATGGCGAATATGAATAATGATTATTGAATGAATGAGAATTATGATACTTGAAATGATGATCATGATAGATACACCAAGAAGATTTCTGACCTATGTGATATTTATGTCGTGATAGCTTATAAGTGGAAAATGCAGTTTGTGATACCTGGATGTATTCATTGATGATACTTAGTATCTAGACTTACTTACTGGGCTGTATAGCTCATTCTATCATTTTTACCATCTTTGTAGAGCAACAGTCATATGGCCTAATGAAAGCTGTTGGCGTTTGGGACTCAAAGTTGTCGAAGATAATTCTTTCTCATTGTGGGTTTTATGGGCACTTTGGCACTAATTATTGATTGTTGTGGGTTATGTGTACTATTGGGACTTGATGCCTTGAACTGATATGTAACAAATGTGATAAATGATATGTAGTGGAGTTTTGGAGTATGGTTTTTGCCTTTTGCATTCAGAGTTGATGTTTTAGTTTTTCCAAAGTTTACTTTATTTACCGCATTGTTGAAGCGTTGAGGCACTTCGACCTGAGTGGCATTCACTACCTCCGGTTCACGGACCCACTCTCGGCTACCCTCCGACGAGTACGGTAAGGGGGATGGGGGTGGGGACGTGACAGTATGGTATCAGAGCCAAGTTAGAATCCTTGGCTTAGGGAGTTTAGGAGTATCCTTATAGTAGTTTTAATATAGCGTAGTGGGTGGATAGAATAATAATTGGGTGTTACTGTGACTAGGTTGAATATGCCAAGAGCTCGTGGCTACTATGGGAGTACTAGTAACTATGACACTGAAGCCCTCGGTGAATTTTGTAGGACTCTGGGAGCCATGACCCAAATACTGAAAGAGTCAATGCCGGCCCTATCTACCCCTGCCCTGGAGCAGAGTGATGGTAATCTGATAGAGAAGTTTAAGAGGCTGACACCCCGAATTTTCTTAGGGCAAGGAGGTGTAGAGAAAGCAGAGAGATGGCTAATGCAAGTATAAAGGATCTTTGAAGTTTTGCAGTGCTCAGATGAGTAAAAATTGAGGTTGGGTACCTTCATATTAGAAGGGGATGCTAAATATTGGTGGCGTTCGGTCTAGCAGGCCTGAGAGGAGGAAGAGATAGAACCAACTTGGGAAGGATTTCTAGAGGCCTTCGATAAAAAGTACTTCCCTGAGTAGGTAAAGGAAAGGAAGAGTGTGAATTCATAGAGTTACAACAAGGGAATTTTACCATTGATCAATATGTGGCAAAATTTTTTGAATTATCCCGATACGCGCCACATATCATCAATGCAGATGCTCGGAAGGTAAGTAAATTCGAGAGAGGATTGCGGCCCGATATCAGAGGGAAAGTTTTGTCGGCCAATCTTAAGTCCTTCATTCAATTGGTGGATTTGGTCAAGAAGGTGGAAAGAGACTGTGATGATTATCGACTGAGGAAAGATAAGCGAAGAACATGACCTCTGCCCCCTGAGGGTCCACGAGGAAAAGGAAGTCGGAGAAATGACTAGACCCAAAGGACCTCCCTGGGCGACATCAAGCAAAGCCAGCTCACATTGTACCTCCTGTAGGAAGCAAGGCCATGTGGCTTCCAAGTGATGGCTGAAGGCGAAGACATGTTATAACTGCGGCAAGTTAGGCTACTTGATTAGAGACTGCCTGACATTGAAGAATGAACCCAAACCGAATACTTAGGGTCGGGTCTTTGCACTTGAAGGGGAAAGAGTTAAGGCATCCATGTTAGAGAACTAAAAGTGTTTTGATTGGAATGTGAAATGTAAAAGCTTTATTGGATTTTGTCTCCTCTCACTATTATTGTGACACCATCCTTTGGCATATCTAATGGAAATTGAACGTTTATTGTCTACCCGTGCCTAAATTGTGTAACGAGTGAATTGTAATGTAGGGGGCATGGTATGGATGCAAC